GCTCGACCCTCTATTTGCTGCCAATACGTCGTGGCATCAACGTCTCACAATATTAAATTTTGGATTCCTTGTAATCGTTCCCATTCTATCATCTTTTCACATCTTGCATTTCAAATCTTTTTCCAGAACTGGTTACAAGTTGTACTTTGCAACTTCTTGATCCATCTTCTTGCTTCTTTTCCAATTTTTTTACCATGACATTTAAGATCAAGGTCTCTTTTTTATTCTAATTAAGTAATAAGATTAAATAGTCTTTAGTCTATACTAAGTTTTAATTCTTTAGTTATAGTTAAGAATATATTTTTCCTAAAGTTATTAAAAACATTATAATTGATAAGAATCATTATTTTTTTAAAAACTTTATTATTATTACAAGATAAAAAAATTGTTGGAAAATTTGATTTTTTGAAAAATAGAAGATATTTACTAGTAAAATTTCTTTAACTAGATATAGTTGTTGGAAGATATCATATTAAAACAATATGGTTCAATTTTTACTAGATCATATAAGAATCTGGGATCCATTATAAGTTATTTGTTTATTGCAAGTAAATAAAAAATTATTGTTTAAAGAATATTAGAATCAAGTGTATCCTAGAAGTAAAAATTTTCATTAGACAATAAGTTTTCTTAGATAATATACAAGAAGAAAATCAAGATTAAGAATAGATAAGTTTTTAAATAATTAGAAAAAAGAAAAAATATCATAATTAAGTATTTTTATTAAAAAGAAGTTTTGAAAAGTAGATTTTTAAAGAAAGCAGAAAATTTTTACTTTTTTATTTTTTTTTATTTTCTTATAATCTATTTGAACATTTTTAAATATATGCTTTCTCTTTTTTTTTAATCCATTCTTTTGTAGTTTTTTATTCTAATGGTTTGATAGAATATTCAGTAGTGACAACCTGCTAGCAATAAAATAGTAAACTAGTAGGATCTTTATTCAAAGTTTATTATAAAGTGAAATATTGTCTTCAAAATCAAACTTAAAGACTATTATTGTTTATAACAAGTTAATTAGATTTGATATTGATGTTTAGCTATAGTATATATTATACTGCTTGAATGAAAATGTGCTTATATTTTCAATTGATTAATAAACTATGATCTAGCCTAACTATAGGTACTTTAAAATTTTTTTTAAATAAAACTATTATAGAAATTGATATCAAATTAAAATATAATATTATAATAACAAAAAAAATATGATTTTAAGTATATGATATCAAGTTTTAAATATGATAGATGGTTATTAATAATCTGGAAATATTTTTGTAGAAGAGATTAAAGATTCATTAATATTTTTTGACAAATATATAAAAAAAAAAATCAAGGTAGAACTAATTTAAAATAAATTTGTTATTTCTTAATATAGCACATTTATTATTGGAATCTAAATTAGTGTTTGGCAAGATAATATGTCAAACCACATAGCAAAGAATGTTATAAATTGGTTTACAAAAAAAAAAAAAAATTGAAACAATAGTTTGATAAACTTTATTTCCTAATTTAAATTCCATAAAAACATTTGAAAGTTATTGAAAGATAACATTCAAAAACATGAAGATTTTCCACATAATATAGAAGAGCTTAAAATCATTCTAAAGGAGAAGTGAACAAAATTTAATATTGTGAGACGTTGATGCCACGACGTATTGGCAGCAAATAGAGGGTCGAGCAAATATAGACAAACCAATAAAAATTTTTTATACTTAAAAAAAAAAATTAATAAATTTCCTGTTTTTTGAAAACCGTGCGTGACTCATGGTGCCTACTGTACAAGTCGAGTTAGTGTAAGATGTGATTATTAATAAAATTTGTTATTCGAAGACCATTTCCTTTACAAATATAGGAAGAGAAAAAAAAAGCGGTATGATGGGTAAATTTCAAGTCCGGTAAAAGCCTAATAACTTGTATAATTACGTCATAGTTCTATACTTTTCTGTTTTTTTTCTTTTGCGTGTTTGTATGCACCAATTTATTATTTCTACATATAGCAATCAGAATTTTCCAAGGTGCATAAATATTTTTTATTAGACCAATACTTACCTGCCGCATCTTTAAATCTTGATTTTCGATCATCATCTTACAAAAATGGTCATGTTCATTAGCTAATGGGTAAATTGGATGACGAATGGGAACGACGATACTACGCATGGTACGCAAGTATTTACGTAAATTCTGCGTCTGTGATTTTATACTAATATGTAAAATATTAATGATTACGTGTCACAATTATACATCCCTGTAGAATACTTTCCGGCCCATATCAGAGATACTTCTGCGGTGCAATAACCTAAAAAACAAAAAAGAACAAAAATTTTTTTTTTTGTAATTAAAGTTTAACTTCGCTTTAATATCATCTACAGTAATTCATCTAATTAGATTTACGCGTGAGATTTTCATGTCCATCTAACAAGACAGGAGGGTCGATTTTAATTCACGAGTTGTCTCTGGCGTCCATCGATTACATAATACATCGACTCTATTCACTTCTAGTAATTACTGTTTTCACTTCATAACTACTTCTTTGTGTGTGCTATATTATAATATACAGTACACTTTGTTATATAATGAAAAATTGAGAGTAATGGGGAATTGAACCGGCAATTCATTAGACCATGCACCACCAAAGTATTTATTCTACAGGGGTACAATTACAGAGGTTGTGTTACAAATATTACATTCCGCAGACACATCATAAATAGGACAACCTTTTTTTTTTGCGATTTGTAATTTTGAATCTGAATGCTACCAAAAATTCTTTTCATATTTTAATTTTAAATCGGTTGTAATTAGTTCTCTGGATCAAGATAATTTTGACTCAAAAAACAATTTAAAGAACATAAGACTTGAGTATCATATATCATATTTAGCATGTTCGGCAGCGACTCGTTTTGTCATGATCCGGATGGTTGGGTAATTTTTTTGTTTTTTTATTTTTATTTTTTTTTTTATAGATTCTTATTCTTCATTAAAAACCAGTGAACTAATGCATAATATCACCATAATTTTATCATTTTAGGGTCCACTGAGCCTGGATCATGCATCCTTCAGTTTGACTTTGTGCTTCATCGATGGGTAAACCAATTTTCTAAAATGTTTGATTATACACATTTGGCTCGACAGTAATTTTTTCTCTTGTGCTGATTGTAATAGCTTCTTATTCATACCGGTCAATGCGCTGTTCATGATCTTTGGTTCTCTTGAATTGTTCTATCTTACCAGGAGGTCAACTGTTATTCCGAGCAGTGGCTTAAGAAGTTGGCATTTTTTGGCTAAGAAGGTATCATTATTCGTGAGCGATTCAAATTTGAACATATGTAATATTTATTGAACCAAGCATTTTATTCTCTGAATAGATCACTTTACTACTTTTAATCATGTTGAGCATAGCTCACTTTGGACTATTGCTTAGTTGGAGCAAGTGGAATTTGAAAGATTTGTTCGTACTTTCTGCTTTTGTTAATATTACCGCACTGGTAAGTATCTATTAGGTCAAGTTTTTATCGGGCGATGAAGGTGTTCTAACGATCCGGATCTATATCTTCGCAGATTTTCGCAATGTATCTACAACAAATATCCTACACAAATCATCACTCTGCATCCTCGATCTTGATATTATACTGGACACTTTACTTGCTGATCAATTTTGTAAAAATAAAGACGTGGACCGAGCTGAACTATCCTAAAGATAGTACTTTATTGTTCCTCACTTTATTGTTTTCCATGATACTGGCACCAATAGCATTAGTGTTAGAGTTGATTCCCAAGCCAAAGAACGAGTACGAACTCATTGGTGATGATAATGTAACAACAAGCTTTATATTATATCAGTATCTTTATATCTTGTAATTAGATCATTGACATTTTTCTGTGTGCTTTCATAGCATGTGAATCTGGAGGAAAATGCCAACATATTTTCACGCATCACATTTTATTGGATGACACCATTAATGAAACTTGGATATAGAAAATATTTAGCACTTGATGATCTCCGGTAAATTTCGAGTTTCCACGAGTCGGATTTCAATGAATGTTTTTATTTATTTCATCATCTTTTTTTTTTTAATAGTAATTTGAGGTCTGAGGATATGTCACAGAAAATCGCCACGAAGTTTGAAGTTGCCTGGAAAAAAGAATTGTCCAAGAAAAAGTATTATTGTATTTTTTTTTTCATATAATTCATCACTTTTTATTTGATTTTTAACAGCCCTTGTTACATTCAATTGAAAAATAGTCCATCGCTATTTAAAGCCATTGCTTATACATTTGGTGGGCCGTTTGCCTTTGCCGCGGTAAGCGATCTCTGTTTGAAATATCTGATAAATTAATATTACCAAACCTATTTACACCATGATTTAAATTTAGATCTTTAAAATCCTTCAAGATATCCTCAACTTTGTACAACCTCAACTATTGAAATTGTTGATGCAATTTGTAAATAGCCAAAATGGAGAGGATCCGCAACCCGCGTTGCGTGGATATCTGATTGCCGGTATTTACGATCAAATTTCCTCGTGAGAATTAAAAGGAAAAAAAAAATAAAAGTCACGCTAACCAAATGTCAATATGAAAATAGCAATGATGCTGTTTACTGCGATCCTCCAAACAACCTTCCTGCATCAGTATTTTCAACTTTGCTTCGTTACCGGAATGAGGGTAATTAATTGATCCTAAGTTTAAGTCGGGCTTCTTTATATTGATGTCAAATAATTTTAAAAATTCAAAATCTAGACTCGAGCCGGCCTTGTGACGGCCATATATCAAAAATCCTTACTTCTATCAAATAGTGCGCGACAACAAGCGACGATCGGGGAAATTGTTAATCGTTAGTATTCTTATTTTTATTTTCGCGTCATTGAAAATCGATCGTCGCACTAAGACTCTCAACTTTTGTATTTAATTAGACATGAGCGTAGACGCGCAAAAAATAATGGACTTGACCACCTACTTGCATATTTCGTGGTCAGGTCCTCTGCAAATAATCTTGGCTTTATATTTTTTGTATCAAACAATGGGAGTTAGCGCTTTCGCAGGCGTGGCCGTGATGATTCTGATGTTACCGGTGAATGCTACTATAGCTTCGAAAATGAGATCCCTGCAAAAGCAACAAATGAAGAATAAAGACTCGAGAATTAGATTAACGGTAATATATTTTGAAGATTTTTTTTTGCAAAGAATTTTGATATTCAATTATTGTTACAACAAAAGAACGAAATACTCAATGGCATTAAAGTCATTAAACTTTATGCATGGGAATCTGCATTTATGAAGAAGGTAATCTAATTTTAGAATTTATTTTTTTAATTTCGAAGCCCAAGGTTTAAGGGGGTCTTTTTAATTATTTGTCGCATATTAAAAAAAAATAATAATAGATTTTCCATGTGAGAAATGATTTGGAACTCAATGTCCTTAAGAAACTTGGTTATCTCGCCTCCGTGCAAAGTTTTACGTGGGCATCTACTGTAAGAATTGGAATATTTCTCATTCGAAAGGTTTTCTATAGTAATTGAATCTAAAACCATTTCACAGCCCTTTCTAGTTTCGTTTGCCACCTTTGCATTATACGTGTTGATATCCGACAAACCTTTGACCAGCGAAGTGGTTTTTGTCTCGTTGACACTATTCAACCTACTTCAATTCCCGCTCACCATCTTTCCCAACGTGATAACTTCGATGTTGGAAGCGTCTGTAGCTCTTAAAAGAGTTCAAGATTTTTTAAAAGCCGATGAATTAGATCAAAACTCTGTTACAAAATTGCCTTATCGAAGTGGAGATGTTTCCCTAAGAGATGCGAATGGTAGGATCGAAATGGCATCAATGAATCACGGCACGTTTAAGTGGTCTAAGAACTCAAGATCGGTACTGGAGGATATTAATTTGAGTGTTGGAAAAGGAGAGTTGGTTGCTATTGTTGGAAGGGTTGGTGGGTTTGTTTGTTAAGATTGTTTGTGTTGTTTTTTGGAGCTTTTCAAAGTCAAGACATTTAAGAAATTTTTTTTCTCTGACCAGGCGCCGGTAAATCGTCACTTTTGTCATCTTTTCTTGGCGAAATGGAAAGGATTAGTGGTGAGGTTACTATCCGAGGGCATGTCGCTTATGTTCCACAGGTGATTTGAGAAACCGTTTTGAAAACAAGTTTTGTGCTGTTCGTTTGCTAAGAAACTTTTTTATTATTTTACCATCCCTCAAATTTGGAATTCATTAGTCAGGTAGGAATGCGGATTTGACTTTTTAATTATGTGGGTAGAAAACTTTTTGTTAACTTTAAAAATCCTCAAACTACGCATAGCCTGGATTATGAATGCTACCCTTCGGGAAAACATCACGTTTGGATTTCCCTATGAACCAGAATTTTACGAAGGTGGATAATATCGAATAATTTTATCTTTACGGAGTTGTATTATATTTGCTGGACAAATCAATTGAACTATCTTATAAACACTCTTGTTATTTTAATAGAGGTTATTGAGGCATGCGGTTTGAAACCAGACATAGCTATCCTTCCGGGTGGAGACTTGACCGAGATCGGCGAGCGAGGAATAAACCTTTCCGGAGGTCAAAAGGCTAGAATTTCGTTAGCTCGCGCTGTTTATGCTCGTGCCGATGTTTACTTGCTCGGTAAGTGTCTTTTCTTAAAACGACAATTAATTAATTATCGCACATTGGATATTTAGTGTGACAAAATCCATATTAACGTCTCATGAATTTTGTTAAGATGATCCTTTGTCCGCCGTTGATGCACATGTTGGCAAGTATCTTTCCTTTTTGGGGGGGATGGTAATTTCTTCGAGCTGACCTTCTTGATATTGGTCTTCTTTTTTATCACTGCAGGAAAACACATTTTTGAGAAAGTGTTAGGACCTACCGGTTTACTTAGAACGAAAGCTCGAATATTTGTTACTCATGGAATTCATTTTCTGTCGCGTGCCACTTCAGTGGTAATGTTGGAGGAAGGACGAATCATGGAACAAGGAAATTATGAAACCTTGATGAAGCAAAAGCGTGAACTTTATAATTTAATCGGCGAGCATACTCAAGAATTTTTTGGACAAGATGATGAAATTAGTAGTCCGGACATCGTGGAAACTTATGAGATCGACGAATCAAATGTAGATCCCAATGCGGAAGAAGTCACAAGAAGTCCGCGAGAGCGACACCTCAGCGTAACTAGTATGCACCGACGATCATCCCTCAAAGCGATGAATGCGAAAGAAGATGAGGGCAGTGAAAGAGACAGATTGATAGTGAAGGAGGAATCGGCGAAAGGAAGTGTAGAATGGCCGGTCTATCGCGCCTACATCAATTCGTGTTCGATATCAGCGGTTATATTTTATTTTTGCATTATGATTGTTTCTCAGGGCGCACAAATTGGTATATATTTTTTTCCTTTTCATATGCCTCATTCGAATGACGTACATAATTTTATATAAATCAAAATAACATTAATATGATATTTTCTAGGTTCTAATGTGTTTCTTAAGTACTGGAGTTCCAAGGAAAGCAACGAAAATGTATTTTTCTACTTGACGATATATGGTTGTATCGGGATTGTCTATTCCTTCATGACTATTATGCAGACATTGATTCTATGGGTTTTCTGCGCTATCAGGTTATTTCGAATTTACCTTTCCACGTAAACGATTTGTTATCATTGTATAAACTAATTGTGTGCGATCTCCTTTTTCAAATAGGGCTGCTCGCAATTTGCACGAGGAGATGTTAAATAGTGTGGTGAGGTAAGAAGTTTAGTTTAGTTAGATGAGTTGTATATTGTTGCAAAATTACGTTTGTCAAAATTTATCTTCAATTACCGTAGATCTCCGATGTCCTTTTTCGTAAGTTTTCAATCCCCAGCGACGTGATGCTGCTCTTAGTATTGGTTGAATAAGATCTATAAAGCTTTTTTTTTTTTAACTGGTGTCTCTTTTGTGATAATAACAATACAGGACACGACACCGTTAGGCCGTATCTTAAATAGGTTTAGCAAAGATCAGTACACTATTGACGAAGTGCTACCGCGTACATTTGCGGGATTTCTTAGAACACTCTTTGTCGTGTTAGGAACCCTTATGGTTATCTCATTCTCCACTCCTTTATTCATCATTGCCGCAATCCCGATGCGTAAGCATTCAATTTCTCTGCGTTTAAGATTCAAGCTATCAAATTTCTAAATTTTCAATGCCTCTTCGTAATTGCGAAAAGTTTTTATGTACAACTATCTTCAAACATATTACTTGTCCACATCGAGGGAACTGAAGCGACTCGACTCGATGACGAGATCACCAATTTACGCACATTTTCAGGAAACTTTGGGTGGCGTTACCACTATCCGTGCATACCAGCAATCCTATCGATTCATTGCGGAAAATCTTGCAAAATTGGATGATAATCAGAAAGCCTACTATCCCTCTGTATCGTGCAATAGGTGGTTGGCAGTGAGGTTGGAGTTTTTGGGTATGTTTCCTATAAAGATCCGTTATTTGTTTAAATTTTGACAGGTTCACCGGATAATTCTAATCTGTCCAATTGATCGAAATGAATTATAGGATCTTTGATCATATTCAGTGCATCGATGCTTTCTGTAGTTACGGTGTTGACCACTCACTCGATCGATGCCGGTCTTGTGGGTTTGTCGGTTTCGTATGCGCTAAGTGTCACTCAGGCTTTGAATTGGTCCGTTCGACAATTTTGCGAGATCGAGGTTTGTTTAATCACGCACGTCGACTTTCGTTTATTGTCGCGTGCATACTAATGTTTCTTGTCTTTCGTGGTTAGACGAACATAATTTCGGTGGAACGAGTCAAGGAGGCATGTCGCTCTTATGTTTATCTTTTCTTTCATGATGATGTTATGGTGCATCGCATCATTTGTGTGCGTATCTAAATGCTTTAAAAATGCCATTTAATATAATAGTATATTGATTTGCCAAGCGAAGCTCCGGTAGTTATTGCCGACAACCGACCGGCACCGACATGGCCACAGAATGGAACGATTAATTATAAAAATTATTCAACTCGATATAGACCTGGTCTCGAATTGGTTTTGAAGGTTTGCACCTAAGATTCGGTTTGGTGGTTCTCGTGTATTTTTGTTGCGTCACGATAGACATTAACTTGTTGATATCCCAGGGAATATCATTAACCGTGGGATCCAAAGAGAAAATTGGTATTGTAGGAAGAACGGGGGCCGGCAAATCGAGTTTGACACTGAGTCTATTTAGGTTAATCGAAGCTGTCGAGGGTCAAATATTTGTGGTATGTCTGTTGTTATAGTACCTTGAATATAGAACGAGTATAAAGCATAGCAATAGTTGACATTTTAAGAAAATTTGCGACCAAAATTCAGGACGGTGTTGACATATCTAAAATTGGGTTGTATGATTTGCGTTCTCGTCTTACGGTCATACCCCAAGACCCAATTCTTTTCGAAGGTTAGCACCTTATTGTTCAATCAATCAATCAATCCGCGCATGACTAATTCATATTTATGCAATAAAGGAACCGTCGCGTTCAACCTTGATCCTTTTCAAGCTCATGACGATTTAGAAATCTGGCAAGTTCTTCAGTGCGCCCATTTGAAGAATCACATTTCCAAATTGGAGGGCAAATTACAAGCAAAAGTGACTGAGGGAGGTGAAAATTTCAGCCAAGGGCAAAGACAACTGTTATGTTTGGCTAGAGCTTTATTACGGTACGGAGTTATTTCAATAATCTTTACCGGCCTTGCAATACTTGATCACTTACTTTATAGCATTCGATAATTGAATACTTAGGAGGTCGCCAGTTATTGTTTTAGATGAAGGTGAGCACTAATTAGTGTGCGCATCTCTTGACGATTATTCTAATCGATTTCTTCCTTTTTATTGTTTATCTATATATCATTAGCCACTGCGAGTGTTGATGTTGAAACTGACGCCAAGATACAGGAAACAATTCGTACGGAATTCAATTGGGCAACGCTATTATGCATCGCACATCGTTTGAGAACCATTATTGATTATGATAGGGTAGGGGATTTGTTTACACATTGTGTTTAGATAGTTGCACGTTCCACTTACATATATTCATCTTTACCTCGATATTCATTAGGTGTTGGTACTTGGTATGGCATTTATTTTTTATTTTTTGTTTGACCATTTAATATTCCACCTCACCACTAACCAACCTTTAACTATTCATAGATCAAGGAAAAATAGCCGAGTTCGACACGCCATATAATCTCCTGCAAAACCCCAACAGTTTATTCCGTGGTCTCTGCAAGGAAAGCAATGAGCTCGAATATCTGATGGACATGGCTTCAAAAAAGTCTCAGAATCGTTCGGGTAGAAGGCTTGTCCCGTGAGAGACCAAAAAAAAAAAAAAAAAAAATACCTATATATACTTACATATATATATAATAAAAATTTCAACTAACATAAAGCATAGACATTAATAGAAGTTCATCAAATATATTTGTAATAGTATACCGAGTTAATAAAAAATTTAGAATATGTTTAATATTATTCGTATTACTCGATTGAAGTCAACAAGGCAATCGTTTCCGTTATCACGTTCTTGAAAAAAAGATTATCCTATTCATCGGCTTTACATTGACGCACCAGTTCGCACAGTATACAGCAGAAGGAAACAGTGGCTACACGATCTTACAAAAAGTAAAGAAATCACATATAGTGCTATATAGTTTAAGGAGTCACCAATAATACTGGCGTAGGATCAAATGCATCACGTACACTACAGAATAACGACGATATATATTGTTAAAGCCTGGTGTGCAGGAGCAACTCTTCGTATTTAATCTTGTAAAGAACTTGTCCGAAAAGAGAAAAATAAAAAGTGGATGCAATTCCATACCTCTCTATACCAATAAAAAAATCTTTGTGAGGTGTTGTAAAAAAGGTTGTAAAAAATGATAAAGACATTCGACCTATCCCCTCCCTTTACTCGAGAGAAATTTATGTTCTCTCGAGTTGTTATTGTGATAGCAACTTGATGCTTCAAAAAACCTCACATTGGAATGAAAGACGCAAAAACAATTAAAACAAATTCTTAAGCGCACACTTATTTGATTATAATGTAAAACGGAATGGTTTTGATTTTTAGGATCAAAGTTTTTCTTTAAAATTTTGATGTCACCTTTAAAATTGATTAGAACATCTTCAAATAATAAATGCAGATAGGACCTTACAATTTCCCAAATGAGGAAGTCGGAAGTCCATTCATTCATTATATTTAATCGGACATGAATTCTCCAACCGTATTGCTGACAACGATAGTTGCAAAGCAGGTCATGCTGTTCATTCGTGTCTCTAGCCATCGCGTGATTAAACCATTCTTCCCATGACATGAATTACGGTAGGAGAAAAGTATTTATTGCAGGTCACTATATGTTATCAAGTCTCTTCCTTTGACCATTACTATCCGCAACTCGTTAAATACACACAAGATCCGGCAAGCGACTTGAGAAACGTTGAGATCTCTTTGGCAAACAATTCGTGTGCTTTCGTTGTCGGGTGCGCGTCATCCCACCACAGATACTCGTCGGGATTCTCGCATGTCTTTACTATGTTTGCTCCCATGTGGTAAAATTCTTGTTTACTAAAATTCAAATTTGAGCAAGAATCGACAGAATTATTCAAATTTGAGCAAGAATCGACAGAATTCTTGAATCCGAATTTTTGCGAGTCAGCAAGGACGCGTTCCGTTAACCCCCAAACATCAAACACCTCGGCATAAATCCTCTTTGACTTGCTGAGACTTAATATTGTCTCGTTTAATAGGGTGTTGTGTTCTTGGACAAGGTCTTGCAAAAGGGTGAGGTTGCGACAGGATTTGTAACGTGGAATGCGATGAATCGGCGGTAAGTTCAACAACAAGAATCTTCGAGCTCCCGAAGATGAAAGAAGAGAAATGGAACTTTGAATTGATTCGATTATGTCGGTAGGCGTGATAGTGAGATTATTCTCGAATATCCTCTGAGAAGGATAAGTTCATTTCATTAGATTTAGGCGCGATACGTTCGACCGGCAAAAAGAAAAAAAAAAAAAGCGCATTGCAAAAAGCTACCATGTAGTCATTACTTCCGGCCCAAAATGTGAAGGTTGTTTGAGGTGGAAATTTTGTTATGTTTGGTAATATTCCTTCTACTGCAAGATAGAAAAGAAAAATAATAGAGAAAAACGGAAATGAGAGGACATTTAGGAAAAAAAAAAAAACAAACGGAACTTGATGTGACATTGGTCCAATCGTATGGCTGATGCGTACCTTGCTCTTTAACTGAAGGAACAGAATAATTTGCAAATGAACTTTGGAATTTCGAATTTTTGAAGTTATTATCTGTCAAAGCACCTCCAAAAGCACGATTCGTTAACTTTGCTCCTAAACTTGATTCCAAGAATTCCACCCACACAAAACCATTCGTCCACCGCCCTACGAGTTGCAATAATTTGTGCTACATTTTTTCCTCATTAACTAAGCGATGAAATATCAAATGTCTACTTTATTTACCTTGAAAATAATAGCCCCCCGGTGGAATCGTGCCATTAGTCATCCTCCACAAATTGCCATTGTCCGTTAGCGAGTCTCCGAATGCGACAATGTTAAAATTTAGCCAATTCTTTTTATGCAAAGAAAAGATCGAGACCACCGTAGCTATTATGAATCCAGAAACCAGTAATACGACTATTAATGTTGAGATCGGTACTTTCATTATTATTTTGAATTATTAATAAACTATTATGTGGAATGTTTCTAAAACGAAAAAGACATTATGAACGTTGTTTACACAGAAACAAACATTTTCCCCTAGCTCGAAGTGATAAAAAAGATGGATGTGATCAAAATGACGTAATGATTCCTTTAACGTTACGTTAAAGAAAATGGATGTATCATAGGTTTTCTGATTAAAGGATTCTCATCTTTTAGTCCGTGGCAATATCTAAAGCATCGGCATCAACCAATAAATCAACAATCAACTTCAGCAGTAAACATCAGAGAGATTGGTCCACTTTAAAGAATTTGATAAGATTTTTTCAAATTTGCGGGACCGAAATCTATTCCAATGCCTAATTAAACTTTTCATCAATGTGATTCAGTTGAAACCATAACCTCAGTGCATCGTAATTGGCAGATCGTGAAATAAATAGCAAAAAAAGATGCAATCTTGATATACCGTTTTACCGTATCGGCAGTTTTTAGTAAAACGTGTACAGCCTAAATTCAACACCGAACTTTCCTTCCAGGAGCAATTATGAAGGCTCCACAATACTGTTCTAAATCTAAAGTTGTTGGGGCTTCAAAAAGAAAGTCGGGATTCGGTCTATTACGATATTTAGCATGTTTGACATCGTGAGATGAAAGGTTGAAAAAATAAAATGAACTTCACTTAATAGTGTATAACCATTACAATATATCATCTTTTCATGACACGTGTTCGAAATTTCTAATTATTCCGCATGTAATTTAAGCAAACTGGTCCCGTTTGATATGATGATCTTCGCACCTAATAAATGCAAAAGTGACTCGAGAATAACTAATACTGGTCGTGGCAGTATTTATATAAGTAGTAATATCTTAAAGTTAATTCTTCTAATGGTCGTGGCCCATTTTTTTCTTTTTGGAAGAGCGATGCACTTACGTTTTGAGAAAAAACAATGATGTCATTAAAAATAATAAATATCGTGAAAGTAAAAAAATTTTCCATAATTTAACACGTCACGAGGTACTTTGGGCTGCGTTGCACGGTATTATTCAAACAATAGAGTTTAAAAAATAAAAAAATAAAATAAATAAAATAAAATAAATAAAATAAAATAATAATAATAATAATAATAATAATAATAATAATAATAATAATAATAATAATAATAAATTCAAAATTTGATATAAACTTAAACGTGATAATGTAATTTGTCATAATTTTTTTTTTTTAATTTGCATACAATAGCTCAAATATTTCAAAAAAATTTTGTTATGCCATCTTATATTATAGCAGAAACTCACTTAAAATAAATGAATTAATAAAATAAAATGAATGAATTAATTAATGAATTAAATAAATAAATAAAATAAGTAAATAAATAAATGAATGAATAAATAAATAAATAATATGAATGAATGAATAAATGAATACAATAAAACAACTAAATGAAATAAATAAATAGATAATGATAACAACAACAAATTAATATAAAAATTTATCTAAAGGTTCTTAAGAATAACTTTTTTAACCAATTTCTATTTTAACTTATTTTTACTTGAAATAAGTTTTATATTTTTAAAAACTAAATGTTTGTTTAATTTGCACTACAACAAGGAGTTAAAAAAAAATCAAAAAATTAAATTGATTATTAAAAGAATAATTTAAAAAGAAAATGCTATAGATTTCAAGATTTTTTTCAAAGAAGGAATGAAAAAATTCTGATCCTTTCTTCTTCAGGATGTCGTAGATTTCATGTTGCATAAAATTATTTCCATCTTATATTCAAAGGGAGGACACTCAAAGTATTAGTTAAATTTTTTTAAAAAAATAAAATATGTATATATTCGATTAGTATGTAAAATATGTAAATAAAAAGAAATCGAAATACAGTAAATAAGGATTTTCTATTGTGCCAAGATTACAATAAAATATGAAATCCAGTATTACAATATTACGCCACGGGATTTTTTTAAAAATTCTAGTTTTTATTAGATATTTTAAATATGATCGATCAATATCTTGATAATTCCGCCCAGTCCAAACCTGATTGGTGAGGGTTTACTTTCTGGTGTAACGTAATACAAATGTAAATAAGTACACATCACATAAAAAATCGATTTTGATCGTCCACTTACCTCCTTTCAGATATTTCACTCTTTGTTTTGCTCAAAAAAAAAAAAAAACATTAATTTTATTTTATTTTATTTTTTTTTGAGTAAAGAAAATTATTATTCACGTGTATTTCCCCTTTGACGTTTAAGGAACGTAAAGACGTTCGACACGCCTATTATCATAATCGCGAGAGCCTCGTTTTCTCAAACGCTAACTCTCGTGGCAAATACTTATGTTGATAATCCTATTCCCTCTTTGTGGTTCTCACTGATTAGGTTATTCTGGTATGACTAAAAGGAGGAAGCACAACACCGCGTCAGTATGGGAGGCGATAGCCATACTTGATGAAAAATACGACAGGGAAAAGGAATGCTTATTCTACTTGATACAATGGGCTGGCAAAGACGAAAACGGAAACACTTGGAGTCCAACCTGGGTATATGTCCATGGGAAATGGATCATTTTTTATTCACTCAATTTTGGTGTGCGCTTTGATTGATCCATACATTAATTCATTTATAGGAACCCGATGTCAATTGCGGATCTGCTTTAATAGACGAATGGAAGGAGAGAAAAAAAAAAGGCGCCAACGAGCCAGGTAGTAGTATTCAGGAGACAGAAAATACAATGGAAGCAACAGAGAGAAAAAGCGAAAGTGAGCGCACATTGATGTTTCCCATGGATTCAAGTACACGAAAATCTGCAAGCTACAGCCCTCCGCTTGAACCTGCAATGATTACAGAGGGGAATAAGAAAAAGATATCAATCATCAACCCATCATCATCCGACATTTTGTCAACCACAACCGAAAAAAAACAAAGAGCAGCACTCGACAAGCCATCATCGGTTCGTGTCATTCACGTCAATGGCGACTCTGAAATCCAAGAAGATTACAAGAAACCTGGTGATTCTTCCACATCTGTTATTCACGTCGACAATGATCATAAAGGTGATGCTCAGCAAACTAAGGATGTTCAGGATCAGAAAGGAATTCAAAATGTAAGAGGCGTTCACAATAAGACAAGCGTTTCAGGATCTAGTGGACCTGCGTCTTCCTCTACAAAATCAAATATGTGCAATAATTCATCCTCAAAAAGTCTTGGTAAAAGGCCCGCTCTTCCGATCGAGAGAACCGTTACTATCTTCAAGTGTGATCGTCGCAAAAAAAAATATAAAGCTCTTTGTGCGAAACTTGTTCTCGAAGATAGCAGCGATTCGTCTTCTGACTGTTCCGAACAGAATGTAACCAAATCACCAATATTGGATGTTCAGTTTTCGACTAACATAAACGATAATGGTTCTCAACAATTTTGCAGGCTGAATCTTCCATCGCGATCCGGTCGATTATTTATCGCCAAAAAAATCAGTCCGCAAATTGATCGGACAATACCCAATAAGAGAAGTAAATCTGTTCATACTCCTACTAATACTGATATAGAAGAAAATTTGTCTTCACTTAAAAAACCCCGTTATGAGGAATCATATGTCAGTGAAGAAGAGGAGACCATTATTTCGGGACAAGTGCTTACTGAAAATCTAGTCAGGCCTCCTATAGAAAGCGATAATGTTATTATGACAAGGACTTTACATACTCCAGCATCATCAAATAGCGAACTTTCATCCTTAAATGTTATAAACGATCCCAAAATGCCATTGCAAAGATCATCCGATACACCACCAAATACATTAGAAACGCACGTTCACGAAACTAGCAACTCGAAAAATCATAAATCATCAAATTCACCTTCGCAACATAGAGCGAACACCATGGAAATTGTATCCAAGGATGGTAAATCTCCTTTGTGCGCAAATAAGGTGCAGTCACCTATAGCACCGAGAAATAATACGGAAGAAAAAGATTCCGTCAGCTTGCAAAATCGGGTTACGAGAAAATCAGATGGCAAATCAAAGATTCAACCTCAGAATTTACTCGAGAAATCAAGATTTCAGAGAAAAAATTCACATTCGTCGCCGAAGAAACCTACGGACTCTACGGACATCAATGACGTTGAACTTGAAGATGAGGAAGAGGTTTACATTATGGAATCGCAATTGGTACCATCGAATGCGGCGGAACCGAAAATTAACAATTCGCTGGGTGCAAGTAGATTAACCAACAGTCAGAACAAATCGATCAATTCTGTACAGAATATTGTAAGTATGCAGTGGTTATATATATATATTTTTTTTACTAGTGTCATTTTTTCATTTGCTTATTCTATTCTTGTCATAAGCCTGTATCGTCTAATGAGCAACAAATGTCGGAAGAAATAATGCGACTGAATGAAGAGATAGATAGACTCTCTAAAGAAAATGTCTCTTTGAAGAAAACACAAGAGGCAGAAGAAATAATGCGACTGCATGAAGAAATAGATAGACTCTCTAAAGAAAATGTCTCTTTGAAGAAAACACAAGAGGAGCTTGAGCACACCAAAAAACTTCTGACTGAAACACAAATAGAGTTAGAGGAGTATAAAGCACAAGGAAAAAATCTTTCAAAAGATGATCAAGAAAGCAATAACTCAAAAAGTGAAGAATTAAGCCGAAGCCAATCAGATGATGTACCAGAGATTAATATTGCACTTCATGGTATGAAGGATTTTGTTATTCTGCAGAAATCTATTCTTAGCACATGTGGTCGCATAGAAGAAATAAGCTCAAAATTTGACGAGTTGAGAAGCGAGCTATATAAAGTGGAGGATTCACTTTGCAACACAAGCGCTGAAGTAAAGAAGGAAAGATTGAGGAGAAAAATTTTAGAAAAAGAATTGGAACTGGCGAAAGAAACTTCCATTATTTCAAAGGATACCATCAAATTCTTGTCTGAACTAAGCTTCTCAATAGGGGGATTATCACTTGAAAACTACAAGGCTAAGGCTTCGATATCTAATTCCACGGACGGCATTGATTCTTCCGTAAACACTCGTACAGATTTCGAAAATGCCAGTGAAACGAACGCAAACATTAATATTCAATATTGTAGAGACTTTGATAGAAGCCCAAATAATGTTGACAGTACATCTGTGGATGCTGGTAATTCGCAGCACAGCTATTTGGCTGGATCCACTGTCGCGAATAAAGCTAAAAGTAACGCGAATAGTAATAATATTAATACGGCCTCGCCCGATGTTGCTCCTATGCATGCATTACTTTCGACTATTTCAAATGGCTCTTCTCCTGTTTCACCTACCGTTTCTACACCTCGGAGCATGAAAAACGCTTCCACGCGCCGCATATTTACCGCCATCAGCGGATTTCCTTCTATATCGCCCACTCCTGATCAAAATTCAAAAGAAAATATGCATGCAATACAAACCACCTCGGCTTCACTTGTTATCGAACCGCCATCATCAAATAAAATTTCAGCTCTGATCAGGCGATTGGACGAACCGTCTCAAAATGGCGCCACGAATTTATCTCGTAGTTTGGGTGCTAACGCGGAACACATATCATGTTCAAGAACGCATGCATCCGAATATTTTTGTTACTGGAATCATTGTAATCAATCATTTAAATCAAAGTTAACGTTGAGATTACATATAATTGATGCACATCTTGAAGAGGGTGCAATCAAAATATTAAAATCTCACGTTCGAGAATTAAATGGATGACCGGTAGGCGGTGGGCATTTAATAACGTAGGTAATATTGAAAATAATAATAAAAAAATAGAAACACATTCTTATTCGATATATTGAAATCGAAAGGATAAAGTTCATTTTATAGATTCTTTGTTCATGATACTTTTTCCGAGATTGGTTTGAGATTTGAAAAAATTAAAAGTATGTTGCGAATTGGGATTGGATAGACCAAACATGATCAAATTTATTGGATATGCTCATGCTAAGACTCTGAAGTCCTGCTCTTTATAACGTTGGCATGCGCAGGAAGTAACTTTGTTCGTACTGTACTATTCACAGGTTGAATTATTGAGTTCAAGAAGCCGAACCAATCGTCATTTTACAAAGAAAAGACGAACACGTCTTTGCAAGATAAATTTGCTAGAAGGTCGTGGTTTGAGATGAACTTTCTTTAGCCGACAAATTGATTATGCGAAATCAAAGAAAATTAGCAATGCCCATATTTGGTTTCGTTAAATTTACCAGAATTGCTTAAATGCTTGCAGTATATTGCTCTCATAGTGAGGTTAAAAATAGTTTGCAAGTTATAAGTGTCATTTGATCTCTAAAATAATGCAATGTCAGAGGTAAACGAGCGACCATTCTAATTTAAATCATGATCGTAATTGCTTTTCCTGGAATAATGGATTTGGAGTCGTCAAAGAAAGGTAGTGTTGCAATTAAAAATTGCGAGCATTTTCATTTTATCGCATAATTATTTCTATCGCCAGACATTGCCTCTTATTGAATCGGCTCAACACTTTCTTACCCTATTCACAATTTCTGCACCAATTTATTATTAATTGTGTATCTGGAAGTCGATTAGTAGATTAGGCTAATTGATTTTACAATTAATATATTTACTTTTTTACATTTACAATTTTTTCGCTCTTTAATTTTGTTAGATTTGACACTACAGTTACGGTATATGATTTATTCATTACTTTTTATTGCTGACAAACAGAATCCGACTTGTGGATCTATAACACAGTGCTTCTAGATTACCAATTGCAAGGTTCCTAGTTTAATATCACATGGGTCAACAAAAATATCTTCTGATCGGGTTTATCAGATAACCTTAAAGAACCATCCAATTAACCTGAAAATTATTTCTTATTAAGTTAGGTTGCATAAAGATGAAACTTTTGACCTTTCATCAATCAGAAATTGAGATTTACAGTTGTACCACCAGAAGTATTACATAAAAAAGATTTTTAGTTTAATTAATCACATGATTATTAACTTTTGCCGTAGTAAATTCTAGGATTTATTTTTTTAACTACATATTTCATTTATAAAATTCGAACTTATAATATAACTGAAATGTTAGTACTAGTAATATTTTTAACTTTATTTAATAAAAATAAAAACTTAGAGACCTTATTTTTTTAAAAAAGTTTTTTTTTATTATTTAAAGAATTTATCAAAAAATAAAGTGTCATTGGATATTCTTAATTTATTTTTTTAATATTATGAGTCTTCTTTAGAAACTTACTTAATTAATTATGAACTTTTTTTCATTATTAATAGTATTATAGAAATATATAATTATAGTATTAAAAATTTATTTATATTTAAAAAATTAATGTTTTATATTTATTAATTATTTTTGAAAAATATTGTACTATTTAAAAATTATAAATTAAACTAAAATAGATAAATTTGTTAAAAAAAAATAAAAATGGAAGTTTTATAAAAAGTCCTAATAGATAATAAGAGAAAAAATAAACTCTTCAATTATAATAAATCTTTATAAATTTATTTCAAAAATTATAATAAATCTTTATAAATTTATTTCAAAGATAAAAAGATTTTTAATACTTTATAATTCTTTTTTTTTTAAAAAAAACTTTCTTAATGTTAATAATAAAAATGTTTTTAAAATTTTTTTATTTATTAAAAATCAATTTTTAATCAAAAAATTTATAAACAAAAAGAAAAATATAATAATATTTTTGAAATACTTTATAAGTTATTTTAAAAATAATAATGTAATCTTATTAGTTAAGAAATTTAAAAACCTTATTAAATATTTTAATTTATTTTGAATTTTTTTTTTTTTTTACTACCAACAAAATTTAAGTTTTATTGAACATATTTTATAATATAAATTATATATAAAAAATTACTATAACCTTTAAAATTAGATAATATAATTATTAAAACTAATCTTGAATGTATTGCTATTTTTAAAAAGTAAAAACTAATAAAAGATTACCAATTTATAAAAAATTTTATAAGAGAAAGAAGAAGAAGTTGAATATTAAAAGAATAAATAAAATAGTTGATCTGAAAATTATTTCTTACTAAGTGACTTATACAGAAAAAGAAAAATTTTATTCAGAATATTTATTAAAATTCAAGATTTAAGGAATAGTGCTGAATATCCATTCATATATAATAATAATAATAATATTTGTATATAATCTGATTATATTTTAAAATTCTTAATTATTTTTAAAAAAGATTGTATTTTTTTTCTTTATTACAAAGTAACATTTTTTAAGAATATCCCCTTGAAATCAAATCCTGCAATTCTAAAAATAGATCAAGATTATAAACAAGAAAAAAAAATAATAATAACTCTTAATATATTTTCAAGTTAATTTAAGGAATATAATAAGATTTCATAATATAAAAATATAAAAATTTCTTGTAAACATCTTTTTTATATAATTGAAGAATTTGTAAAAAGAGTTTTGTTGTTTTGAATTTTTAACTATTTTTTTATTAATCCTTTATTAAGTTGATTATATATACTTTATTAAATAATTATAAATCAAGCTAGTTATATAGGCTTTATTAAATAATTATATACTATATATTGTATATGTAATATTAAAACTGACCTGTGGGTCTATAGCACAGTGGTAGTGCTCCCAGGTCGCAATCACAAGGTCCATAGTTCAATATCACATGAGGG